CCAGGATGGTTCTTAAGATTCATGAATAGTAAGGAATCGTCACAAAGATTGATAATATTATGAAATATGTCGTCAGCACTGAAATTACGTATGCCATGTGATCCATCGTAAACGGTTGCTGCAAAGGCAATGCATGCTTTAGGAAATTACTCTTTGCTTTCATCACTCGTCATGCCAGAGGTGACATCAAAACGGCAGCCAGATCACTTAGGTGTCCTGACTAACCTAGGTGAAAAATATAGAGATCCCATGGATGTTTGGAGTTTGACAACACTGGTTCAGACGTATGATGGAGCATCTTCAGCTAGAACATGTCCAGCAAGAGGACTGAATTCAGAATCGAGGTTACTAACTTAAAAACTATTTATTTTTGGGATTTATTTACCCCTATGTATAAGTTACAAACAAAAGTGGGATAACCGTGAAAAAATAAGTAGTTCGTTCAAATGTATGTGAAGCCAGTGTTAAAAACATTTCAGGTAGCATCGGGCTGAAATCTTCAGGCTATCCGCTCCTAGTTTCGAATTCTATATTCTCTTAATCTGAGGCTTGCGTTATGACTGATTATTATTTATTGACATCCTCATGACACGTAAATGAATTTTGTGCGCTTGCAAGATTATCGACTGACACTTTTTGTTTTGCTCTTTACTGTCTCTCTATAATCACGCGACTCTGCATGCTATTTAGTTATAAATACTTTCTGGCTTGATGTGAGCCACAAGGAAGATATACCAAAGCTAACAAATTAACCGTTCATTTTCAGTTTGGAAGGGACTGGATGTTGAGTGGCATGTGTTACTTTTAGAAATATTGATATCTCAGTTTCCTTAACTTTCCCTTTGACAGTAACGTTGTCCAGTGTTGACAAATCGATAGAATAGGAGATAGTCAACTAACAAGTAATTTGTTCTGAGCTCCCGGACTTTTTAAGTGCCATCATAAACTATCAGTTTTGAAAGGCGAGAAAAATGAGGGCATGTGAGATGAAATTTTTTTGTCAAGTAATCTGAAAACAGTGACTAGGTAACCTCTGGTCCTTCTATATGATAAAGCAAATAGGTTTATTTTTAACCATTTTCTCGTCGTGCAGCAGGTTTATGATTCCGGAAGCCGACTTAGTTATTGTTCGTTGAACGATTTCAATCAGCCCACTGTCTTTCTCGAGGCAGGAACTAACTGCTTGTATGCAACACTCGAATTGAAGACGAATGAATACTATTTTACCTACTCCTGTTACACCTCGTGTAATATATTCAACCCGCTAGCAATCTGCAACAAAATCTATCCTCCACCCTCCGTTCAAGTTCGACCTAATCACTTCTTACGTTTGTCACCAATTCTCGGCGTGTTGTATTCTTTGATCTTCTTTTCCTTTGGCATGAAGGATTCCATGTGGTGGCTTGTCTTGTGTTCCGGGAAGTGATTTCCGCAATGTGTCCATTCCACTTCCGGCGCTTTTCGGTAATTAATTCTTCACTTGGAGTCTGGTTTGTTCTCTCCCACAGAAGGTTGTTCCTGATGATGCCTGACTAACGGATTTGAAGCATCTAGTGTGGCGAATTGTAAATAGACACCTATATATTTTGACGGTGGATTTCGTGGTTCTTCGAGTTTCTGCTCTATAAAATAGAACTATCTTGCCGTAATGGGAAATGTGACTTTGGTGATGATTGAAAGATGTTTTGAGTTCCAGATGTTCTACGTTTATGGAAATTCTGCCCTTGCCCTGCCCATCTTCGCCTTTACATCGGCATAAGATCCTATTCATTTATCAAGGATGCTGAACAGTTATGTAAACTTTTCTACATCTTCCAAAGCTCCTCCATCAAGTGTGATTTGATTGGTGCTTGCTATATGGTATCTGAAGATCTAGCTTTTTCCCTAGTGTATGTTGAGCTAGTGGCTGCTGCTTCACTGATCGTCTTGATCAGCCTTTGTTATTGTGCGCGGGATAGAAGATCTATGTTATGTACGGAGTTCAAATTGTCCATCATCATCCAACGAATTCCATGCTTCCACTGAAATTGTAACATTTTCATAATCCAGTCAATCACCAGGAGAAAGAGAAAAAGTGACGGTAAGAAACCTGTAGACAATCAGTCTTTACGAAATCTAGCCTACTGATCTCTAAATTAAGCGTCTACGAAATCCCTCATTCGGTTTATTAACACTTTGTTGAAATTTTTTCCTGGTATTGATAGTAGAGTGACACCTCTATAGTTTTCACTCTTGCTAAGATCTCCTTTCTTTGGTATTACTGTATACAAATGTATAGAAAAGTCTCATCATCAACATAGGTAGAGTCTCTACATATTGACCATAATCTTCTAAAAACTTTGGAGGCTATCACACAACAATGGACAATAGTTTTCAAATCTTAGTTAGTGAAGGCTCACAGGTTAGTGTACCTGGATAACAAGCGGCCCAGTGTTGTTAGCTGTATATGTCTGGATGACTTGGTGATCAATATGCACGAGGATGCATTTGGGACCATATGTCAGCTACTGCTAAATCCTAGACTATTCAGTTAATTTATGTACTTTATTGAGAAGCTTTAGATTATCAGCGTTTTTATCACGCTCTGTATCTTGATACTGTCTCAGTATAATAAGATCGGTGAAGGAAGGAGATTGGGAAGATCATTACTATACAAGAGGAACAACGCTGGTCCTAAGACTGCAACTTGAGGCAATCCGTTAAAGATGGTTCCCGAAAACTTTAAAATTTGACTCAGTTTTGGTGAAGACAGTAGTTTTCATGCCTAATGACAATCGAAACTATAAATTTAACAGATCGAGGAAAAATTTCGTCGTCCTTTTACAAATAGCGCGCATTAATTGTGAAAATCCTGAACATTGAATAGTAGGCCAATGAAAAATCAAAGTCAACTATTAATTCGAAGGAAGGTGGAAAATTTTAAGTAATCTACTGAACGATAACCCCAGGATAGTATCTCTGAGCCAGAAGTTTTATAGATCGGTCTAACAGCTTTCAAAAATCCTATCAAATATTACAGAATATCTTGTGTTGTTGATCCAAATAAAAATATTAACTCTTTTTTCGTGAAAAACTTCTCCGATTTCATTTGTATGTCTTAAGTCCTGTGCTTGTTTTAACCATCAAATTGAGACTTGTATTATTTTGTTGCCTTTTAAAATATTTTTCGTAATCCGCGTTTGCATTGTGACAGGTTCGACACTTTTGGCTTGTTTTTGTCATTATTGCATAACCTTAAACTTAGCGGAAGCTTCTACCACGATAACCAAATTGTGCACGAATATCATGATAAGGTTTTGCTTATCTGTAGCTAAGTCAGTATTCTATGTCGTAGACAAGTGTACAAAATACGATTTCAACAAAAATAATGGTGAAAACCGTTTAATAAGTATTCTTGGTGACTGCGAAAAGTTTTTAAACAACTCTTTACTTTGAAAAGAATCCTTAGTTGAAAGACGCATTTGTTTAGTTGCAAATGTTGTTTATTTTTATGTCTTGTTATCAGTTTAGTGAAAATTATGAAGCATGCGTTTCAGCTCAGGTATTCAGGTGCCTTTTTGAAGCTAAAATGTCGTTAAAATTTGAGTAATCTATAATTTTCTAGGTATTTCATGCACGCTTAGGCAAGAATAAAATACTTGACGTTCCAGTGAGTCGATTTCTGACTATGGCATTATACAACTATTCTCAAGGTTATTTAAAGAGACATGAAACACCAAAAGCCTCCCAATTATACGTTTTGAATTTTATTATAAAATCCATAATCTAAGATATTCTGTTTAACATAGAGTTGGATGATGCTAATGTAAGGACACTACCAGTAGGGCGTCCGTGAGACAAAAAGGAGGAAACATACAAGTGTTTACAGGCATAAAGGAAGGCGGGAATCGATTTGCAAGGTACCGCAAAGATTCAACGGAAAATATTTTTATCATATGAGTTGTAACGGAACTTGAAACTCATGCTAAGCGTCTACTAAACAACTAGTTATTTAGAATTTGTACGAAAGAGAACTCCACAGAGACTTTTAGAAGCTCACACTAGTCATTAATTAATTTGGCGGATATATTTATCTTTTGATCAGAGCGCAATTATTCAGATACAGTTGGTCTGCATTTTAGAGTCATTGATGGTCTGAACATTAGGACAAGAATTTACAATTTCTCATTCTTCAAGTTTCTACCAGAAGTTTCAATAACCGATTTAGAATATTCGGATGACATTTTACTGTTTCTTGAACAAACTGAGGAGTTGTAGCCTTTTATTTAACCTGAGTAGCCCTCCAAGCATGCTTGATGCGTATTTCCTCAGTTCTGAATGCAAGCTTTTTCTCTAGAACTGGTTTGTTTAGCGCTTGAACTAGTGATGTGGAGTAAAGCAATAGGATAATTCGCCCACTGAATTTGTTTTTAAAGTTTGGTGGTTTCGTGTTTAACAAAATATCGTCACTAATCCAGGAGTCTCGGTTGTTCTTTTCGAACGTGCATCACTTACCAGGTGTCTGCCAGTCAGCGTGAATGTGTGTGTACTGTACAGTAGTCTGCTTTTTATCAACCTATGATAGTAAAATACGGTTTGTGAAAGGAGACAGCATTTATAAGCTTTAGATGTGTTCTGCTCACTGCTGGTACTAGATAGAATGGTCAAGATGGAGAGAGTGATATTGCGACTAGCCACAGAGTACTGAGCAGAAGATCTAAATCGGTTAATAAGGTCATGAATCTCGATCAGTTATGATGTAGAAATGGTCTTATATATGCCCGAAAACCATCTTCTTTGACGAAGGATGTTTACTGGCAAAATACTGGTTAGAAGAAAGTTACAGGCAGTTAAAACGAAACTTGAAATCAGTCCATGAAGCTTTTGATTATTTGCCTAAGTCGTGTATAGGCACTGTTGAATGTTTTATGTCCGAAGTATTGTTTGTACTCTATTTTTCAGCTGAAACTATACACTAAATTTAATTTGGAAAGGATATAAAAATCCTCACTTCATACACAGAAAGTTTACCAATGGTCCGATGAATGGTAATTTTAATTTGACGGAAACAACAGAGTTACCCTGCCAGGTTAGTTCCGGCTTGCAAAGTTTATACATGCATTTCAAAATAACTATGGTAATAGTGCTTAAAAGCTTAGAAACGATGACTGAAAACGACTGGAAATCTCGTGGGCCTAATTTAATATGGCATCTTCCCTAGACCCTGCATTTATAATGACTAATTGACTTAGGAATATGTGAGGCTGAATAATTGTCACTGTCCTATAAAATTTACCTATCTGATTCTATAAAATATTAGTTTCCATTTGAATAGGCATTTGTTATATTTAAGTTGACAAATTGCCGCTTGGTGAATTGGTTTATTCTAGAATATTAAGCTGTGCAAAGTTTAAAGTTCTACTTTTTTTAAAACAATCATAAATTGGGTTGCCTTTTAGCAATGGGAGACATTACGGTTAGTGATAAAGAGCAGTTATTCAGTAATTCACTTTAAGCTAATATCAAGGACCCGTGTGACATCATCGTCTACCTCAAAAATATCTGAAAAATAAACTTTTTAGCTTCGATATCTTCTTTTTGATCTGAAACGTTATAAAAAAAATCTAATAGATGATGTGAAATAAATATGTGTATACTATTGAAGAAATATTCAAAGATATCAGTTAGCACATTCAATTAGTGACACCTAATGTTCAGAAACTTCCACCCAGAAGACCCTATTTCTTGTACGCCTAAGGTTCAGAATTATCGACCTCATTGACTGATGAATGTTTCTATGCATAATTACTCTGATTCCTGCTTCACAGTATTAATTCAGTAAATATAACTATTTGAAGCGGGCGGCAGCCAATTTGTTTAGTACATGCATAAACTGTATACAAATTTTACTCGCCACTGGTAGCCCAAAATAGTTTAATGACTAGTATTTGGACAGTACTTACGACAACTTAGTAGTGTACGGTACAGTAGCCTAAAATCGTCATCTTTATATAACTGTTTTGAACTGTGAGTTGTCCACTGTTGATACTGTTATGGATCTTTTACTCAATCATTTAATTGTAATGACTTACGTAATTTGCAATTAAAAGTCATTTCGAAAATATAAAGTATCTTAAAGCAACTGTCATATACACAAACAAATCAATTTCTAATATCTGTTTCTCTAAATTCACTATTTTTTATATGTGTCATGTCCTTACTATATTTTTCTTTCGCTTTTTAGTTTGATTACTATGATATTATTTCTGAAACAAACAGAAATTTGACCAGTTTGACAGTAACACGTCCTGAAACAGTGTAAGCATGTGCATTTGTTTACATTTTGATCATTGATAAGGTTATTTACGATACTTTCCCCAAAAAGTTATATATATTGACAAAGTTACGTTATAAGTAAGTTTTATAAAATTCTTGCAAGCAGTTCTTTACAACTGTTTTGACAATAAAACCAAATGCACTGATGATAGGACTGACAAGAGAAATGTAAAGTAGTTTCAGCAACCAAATGAAGTAAAAAGGCACCAAAAATCTTGATGCTTCAGATAACTACTTATAAGAATTTCTCATTATTAGACATTCCTTAAAACTATAGTCGTCGAGTAAATTCTAGATTTCTTAGAAATAATTTACCCCAGTTAAGTTTATAGAATTATTTAGTTAATCGGGTTGACCAACTTTCCTTCAAAGTTATTAATGTCAGTGGAAGTTTTAAAAAAATAATATCTCTAAAAGTGATTATTTTACGAAAAGTCACGATTATTTGTACAGTTTACCTAAGAAAGTTTCTGAGTATATTTGTTCTGAAAGCCTTATGTGAGCGAAAAATATTGTTTTCAATTAGATTGTGATCAGACTTTACTCTAATATACAAGATTATTTATATGCATGTGTGAAATTATTAAAACAATCAAGACAATGTATTAGTTAATGATGAAACAAAGGTACAAGTACTGTTGTGTGTTAAAAGTAGCTTAGATTAGTAAGTCAGTGGTGACTAGAGAGTTTGAATTTCAGCTGCTGTGTTAGACATACAAGACCACTTTGCTTCCTTTGGTTTGTGCAATCGGTTAGTTTCACTAGCTCTCATAATTAAAGGTCGTTCAAAGGCAAGTATGCAAACCTGGACCTCGTAATGGGTTATTAAAAGAATAAGAGTGCCTGAAGGCTAAGTATTCAGGTGGTAATATGAATAGACTAAAAAGTTATACAACTTATAATTACATTGTCTTCACGTGCTCATTGATTTATAATTGGATGCATGAAATTAGAAATGCTAATTTACAGTTATGTTTACCTTGTTTTCGGAATATAAATGAGCTAGGCATCAAACTAAATTCATTTATGATATATTTGTTTTGAAAATCTAGGCTTTATTTCCATTTTACTTAATGTTTGTCAAGGTGGTTCATTTCAAGCTTCTGTAAAACATCATTGTTCTTACTTAGATTTGAGATTTTCTTTCTTTGAGTTCTAGCCATTATCTGTAAATATTTTAGAGAGCTATAATGATGTCTATTTTCATCAATAATGTATATAAGATTACTTTAGTGGATTTATTATTAATGTTTTATATGTATGATTTTAAAATTAAGATTACAATAGGTTGTAACTGAATATCAGAATATTTAAGAAGAAATAATACTGATTACTTATAATGGGAAAATTAACTGGTGATAAATAATCGTTTTAATTTGGTTTAAGACACTTCATATTTTTGATATTTTCTTTGCCCACGATCATGAACGTAAGATATATTATCAAACCCTGTAGTTATGAGTTTACATTTATTGGTATTTAAGTTAATAGAGTTTGTATCCACAAAGATTCGACCACCGTATTTAGTATGTGTTGTTGTCATCAATCTATGCCATATTCATTTTAAGCTTAAATATTATAACTGGTAATTTTATTCTAGGAAACCTTCAAGTTACCAAAACAATATTGCACATGTGATTTAGTCTTTCATTCTATAGTCTTGTAGCAACAATGTGATTGTTATCGATTATCAGGTTAGTCATTGTTGTTTTATGGTTAGAAAATCCTCAATTTTTAAACTTTACAAAGATTTGCAGATATTTTCTGATCAATTATTTTGCTGAATCATTTATGTGCATAAATATAGAATTTATTGAAGCACATATGTTCGTTCATCTGTGATATTGTTCTAGTGTTCAATTCAACACAGTGTGTAATTTTATCTCTATGAATGTATGTGTGATTATATATTTACTGGACAATTGGTTTTGTTTATATGTATCCATATGTTGCAAATTAAAATATTTGACTATACTGTCTTTTATTATGAAGAATTTAGATTGTGATTATTTAGTTAAGGAAGATAAAAATAGTGTTTTTATTCCTTTCCATTCTGTCTACTCGATATTGCCCATTTATTGTAATTTGTAATATTTTTTTGAGATTTTGTAAAGACTTCAAGAGCATTATTGTCTTGATCGGTTGGAAAACCATTGCAAATCTGGTATCATGTAAGGTCTCAGGTACGTAATATTGACAAATCTTTTACTATGTATCGAAAGGATTGACTAGTAACCACTGGAAAGGTGATTCATGTTTGCTAATTTAGCTTTCAGTTTCATCTTCTTTCATGTTGCATTAATTAATAATCAGATAGAGGTTAAGTTGTAGCAAAAGAGAACCAAATAATTACATGTAAGCTTATTGCTACTAAAGGTTTGATTTATGTGAAAATTCTTTCTGTTACACTTAACTTCTATGTTATCTGAAGTTTGCTTTGATTGTTGAAGACTAAGATGAACTTTTAAAATCATCGTATTGGTTTGTAATGAATAAGTATGAACTTTTGAAGGAAAATAAACAATTTATTTAATAATTACATTGTACTATGATTTCAATGTGAAGTTGAAGAGTTTTCTATTCAATAACAATTTATACTCAAATATAATCAGCTTGGATTATTTGGATGGAAACACTCAACTTGTAATAGTGAATTGTACAAGTATGAGTTAAAATAATCTATTTTTTTTTCAGAAAAAATTACCGCTTGTTTGCAGGAAGAAATATAAAATATATTTGAATTGCTTCAATAAACTATAAAAAAAGATATCATAAACGTCATGTTTTATAATATACTTGAAATTGTTTTATGTATTCATCGATGGATGTAGTTTTACGTGTAATCTTACAATTTAAATGAATTATAGTACATTTCAATACAAAAATAAATTAAGTGTAGTTATCAATGTGAAAGGGCATGGTGTTTATGATTTTCAAAAGAAAATTTATTATCAATGAATATTCCATTCAAACTATGTAGAGAGAAAAAAAAAGAAGAAACAAAAACATTTTGATTCACCTTTATTTCACTTTATTATTTCCATATTTAAATCAATACACCCATATTTATTTATTGTACGGCAATAACCTTTGTAATCTTTCAGGTCAATTTTATGAAAGGAATATTTTTCATACAATTTATTGATGAAATTTGGCATAAATTGATTAATTTATTCAAAATGATCAACATTTTATAAAGTTAGTCGGTAGGTAGGATAATATAAATCATAGGTTTATACTAGTTAAGCATCTTTAGAGTAAGTAACTAACCGATTCTAATATCGAACATTGTCAGCATCAATTCAGAGATTGTATAAACTGTTTCTGTATAAAGAAGCTAGGTTTATTGATGTGTTTAAATGGCTGGGTTCTGGAAAGATCGGTTAAGTCCGATATAATCTTATCGGAAATGCTAAAAACTGATTTTTTTCGATACGATAACAGTATCAACTAAATGAACCAAGAGAGAGCTTCTCAGTAATACATCTTATCGTCTGGTCAACCAGGTTAGATCATAATTTACATCAGTGACTGATTTTAGTCAGATAATCCTTTAGAACCAGAAAATACTGGACAGCTGTTTCCTTATAGTATGGGATTCCTCAACAATGTACATCCACGATCTCACCAGAGGTCAAACTAACGACAATCAGGCCCCACAGCGAGTGATTAACCGTAAGACAGCTAAATTAACACTCATATCAAACTTCAGTCAAACCATAATATTCCAACGGAGTTCCAGCATCCAGAACCCCAAAAAACTATCAACCAACACCAAAATCAGAATTTTTAATATAAATTTCAAAACAATTATATGGTATGGGGTGGAAACTTGGAAAACTTCCAAAGCCATCATCCACAAGATATTAGTATTCATGAACAGTTGTCTACGCAAAATACTTCGGATTCGTTGGCCTGACATCATCAGAAATAACCTACTGTGGGAGAGAACAAGCCAAATTCCAGTGGGGAAGCAAATCAGTAAGAAGCGGTGGAAGTGGATGGGACACAAACTGCGGAAAGCACTCAACTGCGTCATAGGACAAGCCCTCACTTGGAACCCTCATGGTCGACGGAAAAGAGGAAGGCCTAGGAACAAATTACGTCGAGAAATGGAGACAGACACGAGATGAATGAACAAAATTTGATCAGAACTGGAAAGGGTAGCCCAGCACACAGTAGTTTGGAGAATACTGGTCGGCGGCCTATGCTCCATTGGGGGTAGCTGGGGTAAGTAAATTAAAGTATAATCCAATGATATAAACGGATGACTGAGTAAAGAGATTAAAAAAATCAAAAAAAAATTACAGTTGGAACTGTAGAAAATAGCAGGGAACTAGTTGAGAAATACTTATTGCAAAATTTATCAACTTATCAAATACATAATATCAAGACCAAGTTTCATTCCTTTCTTTGATAATCGCTTTCCCTAATATAGTATAACAAATAATTATCATACAAGAATCTGATGTCGTTAGCTTTTTTTTAAATTATTGGTATATTTATTGTCTAAGGTGGTTGTGAATCATTCTGACATAATACTCTGATATCTTTAGAAACCTGATACTTTAATAAACAGATGAGAAACATAAAGAGATGAATATTTAACCTATAAATAAGTAAATATGAGACAACATTTGAAAATGTAAGACAAAGGAATAATGTATGTGCATCGAATATAGTACAAAGGTATTTAAATCATTTTATATTTATGGTTATTTGTAAGTAAAGTAAACTAAATTGATCAGAGGAAAAAAACATAAAGTTGACGATTTCATAAAAACTATAAGTAGTATGAGTAATCATCTGAAATTTAGTTATTATCTACACATCGATAATGAAACAAGCCAATTAAATCACGTGTTCAATGTTCAATGAAATAAATTCAAACAAGTGTTAGTCGTTATTTACTATCATATTTTCAAAACGGAATTATCAGAAAAAAACTGTGTTGTTATGAATGCATGCATTTTACATATTTT